TAGGTGAATGTAATACAGGAACAAAAATCCTCATCTGCCATGTCACTACCTGGTGATAACATCCAGCCCCAGCTGAGAATAAGTGCAGGACAAACTCAGTGTCTTCAGCCTACAGAGGTATAAAATCAGCAATCCTGAACTCTTCCTGGCTATAAAATGCTATTTTTTTGGGATGCTGTCATGTCTCTGCCTTGTGTCCAGTAGATCCATACCTGTATGTTGATCTGCACCGGTTGCCTCTCTCCACTCTTGGTGTGCGCCACCCCCTCGGTGTCGTACTGGCCGCTGTAAACCACAGACTGGGGGTCTTTGGACTGCTGCTCCAGAGGGAAGGTCACCCCGTGGATACTCATCGTCCTGCAGCAGGAGCACAACAACACACTCGTGAAGGACTATAAAGCTGTAGAGATGACAAACATTATGTAGGACTCACTTTCACACTGATATAAAAGACTAGATCTGTCCAGAGATACACAGCTGGATGGATGTATTAAACTGAAGGAGCTCAGTGAAGTCAAGTACACGTTATGTGTTAACTTGCAGCCAAAACTGTCCACTTGAAAACCTCTATATGTCCTTACAGGTGGACAAGTCTGTGTGAAAAACTTCAGTGCTTTTTCTCACAACATTTGTTCCTCTGCCTCCCAGTCCTGAACAAGTAGAGGTCAACCACAGCCCAGATGTGGTGATATGAGCCTTACATGCATTTAGCTCGACATTCCCATCATGACAGATCCAGATGGAGAAATCAACTCAAAAAAAAGGGCTGTCCAAGATGAGATGAGCATCCCACAGAGGCCCTGCATGCAGAATTCTGCAGGTCCATAGTAAACATCCAAAGGAAAACGCCAACCAGTGCATACAGGCTAGAATTGGACCAATCGCACTGAGATATCTGGCACTGCTGGTCCTAAAACCTACTAGTCATCCTCCAACCAGCACTGCTGAGTCAGAGTTAACCAAATAATTACATTAATAAATAATAAAAGATGCTTTTATGGAACATTGGACGAAAAAACAAACTACATGGCCCTAAATCGTGAACTGGCTGAATCTCTCTTTACTGTCACGGATGTAAAGCAGATGCAGATCCTGACTAATTACAAAGACATGCACTTCCTCTCAGGATATGACAAATATAGGAGCAGGATTTCATTATATTACTTTTCTACTTTTTAGGCACTGCAATTCTTATGTCGCTTGTTTTTTTTTCTGAGCAATATCTGGTAAAAGAATTTCCTTCAGGATTATTAAAGTTTTATCTTATCTTAAATATAATAAAAGAAAAAAGGAATACTTTACGAAATGCTTCTTGTTAATCCTAAACCGTTGTCACGATAGGTGACAGTGGAAATATTCAGAAAGGGATGCACTGCACAGCTCGATATCAAAACTAAAACAAATAATGATTTTGCATTGCGTATTATCAATAATGCATGAACATACACTCATGCAAAACACATTTACTGTTTATTCTTGTATTTTTTTGTTCATTTTATCATCCCGTTCATGCATTATTCTGCTCAACACATTGTCTCGCTCTTAATTTCCTCATCCCATGTTTGGATTGCACCATCACTGGTGCTTTGGCAATATTGTTCACGTGACATCCGTGCCAAGGAAGCACACTGAATAACAATAAATGCATGTGTTTGTTTGCAGACAGGACTCCTCGTTGACAGATCAGTGGGCGAAACGGGTCCACAGCTGTGATTCATGCCCCACATTCACCTCAACACCTCCTGGCCTACATGCACGAGAGCGTGTGTGACCCAGATTTTGCACAAGGCATGTATTTTTTTATTTTATAACATCCTGATATTTGGACACTAATCCTTATTTGGAGATGGAAGTACAGCATGTATTACATAATCACAAATTGTAAGCAAATCACAGGAGGGCGGTGACACGAAGCCCAAACGCTCTGCTGTCCTAATCTGTGCTGGATTTGACGTGCAGCCAATTGTGTGTGTGTGTGTGTGTGAGGGGGGGAGGTTTATGCTGCCTTCACGTGCTGCATGTAAAATCCTGCTTTAAGTGGAGTTAAAATGTTAACTTGTTGAAGCTGCAGGACAGAAACACCACAAAGGACAACACTTCCTGTTTTTTGAGTCACAGTTTGTTTCCTCTGCAGCTTAGAAATCAACAAAAAATCCTACTGTACTCGAATGCAGCCTTTACAATCTGCACTTGAGCATATGTGCCAATGTTTTCAGTGGTTTAGCCTCATCTGTGCTGCCTTAATTAACCGTCCAGAGATGTAATTAGGGCTGCTCTGGAAGACAAGAGTGTCATCTCTGTGGTGCAAACAGCAAAAACCTCCAAACATGTTCAGGCCTTTACATGAGAGCAGATTAATAAAACAATAGCATCACTGTAATCCCACCACAGAGGGGCAGGGAGGCACACACACACACAAAAAACCCTGCATTATCTGGAATTTAATGTCATGTATCCTGTAGAAAATCTCCACATTCCTGCAGCGAATGAAACTCTCTCATTACTTAAGTGAATTACTGATTTTTTGGAGCCATTTCCCCAAATAAAGTTGTGCACTACGATGACCTGATGTTGCTATTTGCCTTCCAGAATGAGGCGTTTCTCTGCTCTGCGTCCAGGTGAGGATAATCCGTGCGCTACCTACGTGGCCTCGACTGCTCCCGGCTTAATCACCACCTCGATTTTGTACTTGGACCCGGTCAGCAGCTTGATGGTGCGCGTCTGTCCGAACCGCGCGCCGTCGGACTTGAAGTACACCGCCGTGTTGTTGGGAAGCATCTTGAGGGAAATCCCGATTTTGACGATCTGCGGCACGTCGGCCATGTTTCCATACGGCTACAGTCTCTCCAGGATCAGGGGGATGCGTCTCTGCTTGTCTCTCTCTCTCTGTGCTGGTTTCCTGTTCAGGCAGGCGGAGGGAGGAAAGGCCGTTAGAGAAGCCCGGAGAGGAGCGCACACTGAGAGCGCACAGGAGAACTGCGCCGCGCTCCGTAATCCCGTCCAGCCTGCAGCGGAGACCTAATCCCAGCCGTCTCTCTCTCTCTCTCTCTCTCTCTCTCTCTCTCTGGAAATCTCTCGCTCTCTCACACTCTGTCACCAGACCTCCCCACCCACCCATCCCCATCCTCTCTGAATCTCTGCCCATCTTTACTCTATATTCCCATCTCCTAAATAAGTGCCATGTCATTGTAAAATATGTCTCTCGCTGTCCTTGGTGCTGAACTCCTGCCAGTTAAACCACAATTACTTTATCTGATCCTTAAAGAAGCAGTCATGGGTGGAATATAAAGGTTACTGAGCATGATGGGGAAAAGGAGCACACCAAACAATCCCTATAATAAAACCATCACAGTGCAAAAATAAAGCAAAATGTGGATAAACATGATCCACCAACTACCCTAAAACGACGGACTGCTGCAGGTAACCAGATTAAAACCCCAAATTAACGCAATAAAACACATGGATTAACGAGTTCTTACAGAGTCTTATGATAGATAATAATGCAGTCCTAATATAATATAAAATGGCACCTATTCAGTGAATAAATGTGAGTGTTAAGATGAAATCCAGGTATTTATTGACTTAAATAGACATGATTTATATAAAGCTACAGTGCAGGCAACACCCTGTAATTCCAACAGTTGGCCACTAGAGGTCAGGCTTGTATCACAGCAGGAAAAAAAAATCATCTAAATAAATAAAATAATGAATTTATCTTTCTGTTAATGGAAGACCAGATATGTAATGACTACTGCTGCTGTCTGTAAATACTGTTAATAATTAGCCTATATTATCAGCATGATAATGATAAACCCTGCACATTGTAATTATTTCTAATTATTTTTAACTTATAATTTATTTTATTTGCTGTTAAATTGACCTTAAACACCTGCTGTCTGTTATAAATGTCCCGTTTAATGTTATGTATGTGACAAAACGCCACGTCAAATCTATCATACGTGAAAAATTACTTTGCAATTCTGATAATAATTAATAACAATGTGCACTTGAAATTGCTTCATTGAAATCAAATGCTTAAACAGACAACAACTAGGAACAGAAGAAGGTGAATCAGGGTCAATTAAAAATAAGTGGGGATTGAACAAAATTGAGATTATCTGTTTTTTTATTTTTATTTTTTGTCTGCCATTAGCTCTGTTTTTAAGAAAGCAAGCAGGCAAGAGTTCTTTAATGTGTCTCTAGACATTAAATTGGAGTTTAGCTTCAACCACTTGCACCTTTTCTGCATGAATTTATGCTGGAAATGTCTTTATTTATGTAAAATAAAACACAAAATTCAGGTTCCAAGTCACAATTCTGAATAAAATGGAAAATAATGCAGTAAAACTCTCAGACATCCTGCATTGCCTTCAAATATTTATTCGCCTGTAAATCAACTTTTCCCATCTAATATGATTCCTACTGAGTCAACACTCACAGATTTACACTTCTGGCCTCCTGCGGGTCTCTCATTTGGAGATGGAACCTCTTTAAATGTGCATGTGGCTCCATTTCACGGCAATAATACATTAATTTAGTTCAGTTCATTTACAAACTCATGAATTTTAAAACCTCAAAACTTTTTGCGTTTTCAAGGTTTATTAAATCTTTCATATCTGTGTTTTTGGTTGTGTGCGTTACAGGTTGGAGAGACGTAGTAAGTGAAGAAAAACAGGTCACGTGGTTGGTCAGTCGGGAAGAGAGTGACGCAGCTGTTACCGACACAATCAGAAAACGTGTTCGGTTCCGGGTGGAAATAGTCTGAGGCATTTATCATCATATCTGCCGCTGAAAACTCTGATCCTCCGCATATGAACTCCTGTTAAAGTTCAGTTCAGGCACCAACTAATTCACTGATGAAGTTTTAATGAAGCAGATACGAGACTGAAGTGTAGCTCGAAGCAGAGTTACATGTGATAAGTGCACCGTTTGGACCGTTTAATTCTGAAATAAACCGAGCAGAACCATCGTTTGGAGCCATTTCCTCGTTTGCGTAAAACCTGAGTCATCGGTGCTTTGGTGTCTTTTCACGTGTGTTCACTTAATATTTATCAGTCACACTGAAAATGACCAATGAAGCCAGAATTATGTCGACGTCTCCACGTTGAAATCAGTGCTTGTCCAGTGGTGCTGGCGGTGCTGCGTCCTTCTCCGTCCGATGCGTAAAAGAGAAGCAGTGACCGGAGCAGCGCCGGCAGGCTCCGCGCACACTGACAGAAAGAAGCAAGACGGCGAGTGAAAGTGAGTTGAGGAAGAAAGAGAGTGTGGGAGGGTGGGAGAGCCCTCCCCCCGCCAAATGTCTCGATGGATCAAATCCTTCATAACCCAACTCTTCTCCAGCTTTGCGCAGATGGCCAAAGTGTCCAAACCGGACCGTGAATCTTCCCAAACGGCCACAGAATGACGAGATGAGATCAGATTAGACGTTTAGCTCTTCACCCTCTGCTTAGGTTCATTTAGTGCAACAGTTCAAGTCAAAGTAGCCAAACACCCTTCTGGCGCAAGAGCACTTGGCTACATGTGAACGGCTGCCGGTCTCCCAGCGCACTCCACGCTTGCGCTGGTGATGCCATGCCGCGAAGTCACACCGGCGACGACAGCGGCGGCACCGGGCTCTGGCTGAAGACCTCCACGGGACGCCGGGCGCAGGACTACCCGCTGAAAGATGTGGAGTCCGGACGGAGGACGATGAATAACGCGGTGCGTGTCGGGGACGGTCTCCTGTCTCCCGCCGCGGCAGGTGCGGTGGGAGCGGAGAGGAAGCAGGGCGCCCGGCTCAGCCTGCTGGGGAAGCCGCTGACCTACAGCGCGCAGAGCGGCCGCAGGAACGCGCGGTACCGGCGGCTCCAGAATTACCTCTACAACGTGTTGGAGAGACCGAGGGAGTGGGCGTTCGTATACCACGCTTTTGTGTGAGTACTTCCACTTCTGTGGCACTGATGTGGGCACTAGAAGCCACTTAGAAGCTCCTGTTATGTCACTTCTGTTCAGCTGAATCACAGTTTGGCCACTTTGGAAAGCTGAAGTTTGAATAAGGGGCAAAATGTTTAAGCAGAAATAGAGCAAAAAGAAGCTGTTTATCCAATATGTAGAGGATTTTTTGTTGGTTTTGGTTGTTCATGTGGTGATAACGGCCAGATGGGGTCACACACATATCATGGTATCAAAGTGGAGGATTAGCAGCCTAAACTCATCTCCCTTCACTCCCTACACATACATGGACACAAATATGCACAGAAACACACAAAAACAGACTTTTACAACTTGGTTTATTTTCCCTTTTTCTAAATTTGATGATGTCAGTGGCTAAAGTGTGCTGGTTTGGATGGATCAGCTGCCATGCTGTGCAGAAAACGCTGATCTTGAAACAGCTAGAATATATAACGACGTGTATGTTTGCTGGTGAAGCTGCTTTTGAAATTCACACTCTTGTGGAATTGCAAAAAAACCCCACAGAGGAGTATTTTGGGAAGGAAATCACAATATTACAGTATTCTCCTGCTCATGTTTGCGTAACACTGGAAGCTCCAACAGTTTTGAAGGCTCTTGAAGAAGATCAGGAAGCTGTCAACTAAAAAAAAAAAAAAAAAAGGCAGAACGTAGCATCAACTGCTGCTCCCTTTGCACGATCTCAAGCGTTTCGTCACCGGCTTTGGACGCAGTGTTTCTCTGGGAAGGGACAATTTTAAAGCTGACATGTTTCATTTCTCAAATTCAAACCAGCCGTCCACTGACCGCAGCTTTTTTATTTCCTGCTGGTGTGAAATAGCTTCTTCATGAGCAACATCTTTAAATTGAATCCAACAGCATCCAGCTTCCTCTCTCCTCATGCAGTTTCCATTAACTAATTTGCAGATTATTGCTAACATTCAGAGCGAGCTCCTCTGGCTTGTGTCTGTCAGGATTTAGCTAAAACAACAGGATTTGTTGATCTAATGCATCGATGCTGTTTGTGATTCAATGATGCTTGTCAACACTGTAAACCGTCCACTGCAGTTGTAGCTGCTTGTGTTTGGTTCCTGGTGCTTTGAGTTGATAGATTTTGGGGTTTGACTCTTGGCTGAGGATGTTTCAGAGGATTTATGATCACATTTGTTGTTGCAGGCAGTTGGAAGAACAGGTGGCAGTAACACAAATTTGATTTATTCCAACAAAATGCACCCTCTGTGCTTTTACTTTTTTTTTTTTTTACCATCCACATATCCATCTTTGTATCTGTACCGTACATTATGCATGAATCGATCCAAGCCTTTCACACACACACACGCACCAGCACGCCCACCAATGGCAGCGCGGCCGGGTTTGAAACGCCACATCCCCTTCCCGCTCCGGCCAAGTCCTGCTGGAAGAGAGAGGAGCGCTGTGAGAAGGAAGTGGAGCTGTCAGAGGAGGGGCCGCGAGGCCGGATGCTGACGTTTTATTCGCTCAGGCGGGACAGCTGAGGTCGCAGGGGTTAAGTCGTTACATCTGCTCACGACCGCAGCCTCCCACACTTTAGTAGTTTGGATCAGCTGCGCATGTGACATGATATAAAAGTCTCAGACAGTTTGCTTAAGTGAGATAAAGAGAGATTTGGGGAAAGTAATCTCGCTCTGTGGGCAAATTGGCAGAAAGCATGACTGTGTTTTTTTTTGTTTTTTTTTGCTTAAGACACAAAGCAAGCGATAACTGCAAGAAATCACCCTGAAAATGTTTGTAATTTAATCAAAGTAGACCTAAACAGGGATTGAGATGCTTTTCTGTATTTAGTGTTTTCATTTGAGGAGTCCCATTTGAATGTATGGAATCATGATTAGAAGGTTTGGAGCACTTTGTGTTGCTGCTCTTGATCTAGACCTTGATGGAGGGGAGATAATGGAGGCGCTTTTATACGAGGCCAAACTGCGTCGCTGATCACAGAAAAAGTTGCACTTATGTTTGCATGCTTTCCAG